TCTGTAGGCTCTTTTACGACCGACAAAGGGCGATCCTAGTCAGTGCTATGGGTTATTAAGTTAGGAAAAACAGTCCCCACGCAGAGGTGGTAGATTGCAAATGAGCATTGTCAAAAGGTTCGCAGTTGGGACGCGCCTCGGAGTGGCTGAACACTGCTGCGTTGTGGGGAGAAATTGGACTCCGTTTCCCACAGCCATTATGCCGGAGTTACTGGCGCGTTTTTTGCGGGGATTTTTGACGGGCCCGCAACAACTCCCTTTGAAGAGAAAGAGTACCGCTTCTGGCGAGGATTGACCTGGAGGGATTTCGGTGACCTCCGGATTCTTTCTGTTCGTCGGCAAGGTGGGTTCTCGAGATGCGGCGGCGACTGAGCGGCTTCGACCGTGCTCTGTCGTTGTGTGGCCAATCCGAAAGTATCCAGCAGGATGTGCAGCGGCAGGCGCACGGGATGCCTGGTTGGCATGGAGGTTTCTTCGTGGCGCGGACGAAGTTGATTTCGATGGCGAACCCAGGTGTCATCACCTACGGAGACATCATGCAGCATGTCACCTCGCCTGGCCGTCACTGTTGCTTCGATCCAGCGAGGATGACCTGCTCTGTAATCTCGAGCGTAGACCGGGGCTCCAACGACGGATTCTTTGTGCTTATTGCAGGGACCAGAGTGAATAGGTGGCTTCTCAGTCGGAATGAGCGCTTCGTTGGTTGCGCGTAGCTTGCGGCCCATCAATGCTTCAGCTGGTGACTGGCCTCCTGGCGTAGCTGGATTCGGTGTGGACCGGTACGAGAGCAGGAAGGCCTGAAGACACTCATCCACGGTCCCCTCCCCGCGAGATTTCAAAAGCGCCCTCTTGAAGGTGTCGACAAATCGCTCCGCTTGACCGTTGGATTGGGGATGGTACGGCGGTGAGCGGAGGTGTTCGATGCAATGTCGGCGGCAAAAGTCCTCGAAGACGGAAGACGTAAACTGGGTACCATTGTCGGACACCAAGACCTCGGGAAGTCCATGTTGACTGAAGATTCGTTGGAGACAAGCCAGAGTGGCGGATGCGGTTGGTGGGTTGACGGCGACCACTTCCGGCCATTTGGAATAGGCGTCGACCACGACCAGGTAGGAAGTGCCATCGATGGGACCAGCGTACTCGATGTGCACTCGAGACCACGGTTTTGCTGGCGGCTGTCAAGGAACTGGTGATTGGTGTGGTGGCATCTTGGATGCTTGTTGACATCGTGAGCAGCGGCGGACCAAATATTGAATGTCGTTGTCAATGCCAGGCCAATACACATAACTGCGGGCAACTGCCTTCATTCTGTTCATACCGGGGTGAGCAGAATGGAGCTGGCGGAGTACAGCTTGCCGGAGACATGAAGGAACGACAACTCGATCTGCAGTCATGAGACAGGAATCGACCACGGAAAGGGAGTCGCGGCGTTGATGCAGTTGTTTGAGTTCACCAGACAAGGTAGTGTTTGGCCAGCACGTCTGAACGTAAGTGACGGCTTTCTGCAAGACAGGGTCTTGAGCAGTTGCACGACGTATGTCGGCGGCAGTGATAGGGAGACTTCGGATAGCGTTCGATAGTTGATAACGAACGTCGTCCTCGACAGTTACAGCGGCAATCACTGTGTCTTCTACTGCGGCATGTTTGGAAATGAGGCGGGAGAGACCGTCGGCTTGACCAAAATCCTGGGTACGGCAGTAGCGGATTTCGAAGTCGTAACCAAGAAGGATGACCGCCCAACGCTGAAGTCGACTAGCCGAGCATGCCGGAATGCCCTTCTTTGAACCGAAGATTGAAAGTAGGTGCTTGTGATCGGTCAGTAGCGTGAACCGTCGGCCATACAGCATCTTGTGGAACTTGGTGACGGCAAAGACAATGGCAAGGGCTTCCTTCTCTATCTGACCATAGTTCTTCTCCGCAGGCGTCAGGGTGCGAGAGACGTGCATAACAGCTTTCTCGGAGCCACCTGGGAATCGATGGGAGAGAACTGCTCCGATCCCGTAGGCAGAAGCATCAGCAGCGACCAAAATCGGTAAGGCTGGATCGTAATGGGTCAACAGTAGATCAGAACTCAGCATGGCTTTCAGGCGAACGAAAACTTTTTCGCATGCGGGGGACCAGTGCCAAGGGATCGCCAGAGATCCTCGGAGATGATTGTGATGTCCGACGCAGTGTCCAACTGCAATCGGACCGACTGACCGTTGATCAGGACGTCGACGAATTTTCTCCGATCCGCAGCGTTGATTTGGAACGTGGCCAGCAGGCTCAGGGAGCTGCCAACCGGACCAGGTTTGGGTGTGCGTCTGGGTCGGGACCTCTTCTTTGGATCGCGGGTGGGGGCCAGCCCAGTTTTGGCCCCCTTGGGAGATGGAGGAAGGCAGTAATCATCCCGGTGCCCCACCCTGCCACAACGTTGACAACGATGCTGGCGGAACTTGCAGTCGCGGTGGAAATGCCAGGCACCACAGAATCGGCACGCGTAGGGTGGGGACTTCGCTCGGCCGGATTGGGTGGGGCGCGCGGACGATTGCGCCCTCGGTGCTGTGACTGCCTGGACCATACCAGGTGCGGCGGCGTTCTGGATCATGGCAGAATCGTGCTTCAGGTTGAGCAGCGTTTGACACTCCTCGGCCAGGTTCTGGAGTGTGACTGATCCATCCTGTTGTAGCTTGGACAGAAGGCGCGTCCGGATATCGGCATCGTGTGGAGATTGGAGGCCAGAGACGAAGATCAGGCATTTGAATTGGTCCTCGGTGAGCGAGCCAAGTTGAAAACGTTGGCATTCACGGTTGACCATGCCCGCGTACGTGATGAAGTCGTCGGCATCACGTTTGACCAGCTGCAGACATTGGTAACGAGCATTGAACAGAGAGGACTGCTCGCCAAAAATCTGTGACAACGTTCCGACCGTGTCGTCAAAGGTAACGTCCCGTGGGTTCCTCGGCAAGATGAAATTGGTGTAACGCTGGTGTTCGAGGGTACCAAGTTTGCGCAGAAGCAGGCGGACCTTCCACGCGTCGTCCTGGCGAGCCAAGTCCACGGTGAACAGGTCCTCGTACCGCTTGTACCAGGATTCGAACGTTACCCCGGCCTTGGCGTCGTACAGAAATTCGCTGATGCCGCTAACCACCTGGTCTACTGACTGAGAATTGGCGCTCGGACCTGCATGAAGGGAAGAACTGGAAAGCTTTTCGGTTAACACGGACATCAATTTAAGCTGTTGCTGCAGCATCAGTTTTAAATCTGCGTATTCGTCAGTCATGGTTCGTCAACTCCGTCGCCACTGTTATAATTGAGGGAACGCCGCCTCTTGAGGTAATTGCGTGGCAAGATTGTCGCTCGCACGGTTGGAGCACGCCTACGATGACGCTAGCTTAGCCGGTGAGACGGAAAACTGAACGAGCGTGGGAACGATCTTAGCCACACTTGTTCGTATGGACGCTGAGGCCTCGAAAACGGACGCACACGTGAGGGGGTACGATAGACGCGCGCTAATGACTTAGACGCGAAGGCTGGCCAGCTAACGATTCACACGCAATCACGCGACCCGACCGACTCCCAACTGAGGCGAAGAGAAAGAACAGACAAGTGGTCCTCTGTAGGCTCTTTTACGACCGACAAAGGGCGATCCCAGTCAGTGCTATGGGTTATTAAGTTAGGAAAAACAGTCCCCACGCAGAGGTGGTAGATTGCAACTGAGCATTGTCAAAAGGTTCGCAGTTGGGACGCGCCTCGGAGTGGCTGAACACTGCTGCGTTGTGGGGAGAAATTGGACTCCGTTTCCCACAGACATTATGCCGGAGTTACTGGCGCGTTTTTTGCGGGGATTTTTGACGGGCCCGCAACACAGGGTATTGTGTGGGTGAGCTTAATTGACTAATTGACCTCCGAAATGGTCTCAGGTGATAACTCTCACATGCAATGTAGCGTCCATTCTCCGCACCACTGGCTACCTCTAAACAGGAGCCGAAGGAGAGAGCAAGCAAGATGCTGCTGCTGCATTCACATTCATGAGTCACCTAAGATTGTTCTCTCTAGATTCGTGAGGGCTTTCTTACGTGTGGCTTTTGTACGGAAATCGACTTTGCGCAGGCTTCTGAGTCACTGCTCTGTGCTAGGATAAATTTCAATGGAAGAAATCCCGGTTTTAATTGTTTTCAGCAGTTTTTTATGACCGCTTTCCTACCGATTCGGATTCATTAGGTAGCTGCGAGTGGGGCACAAGACATCGGTCGATGGACCGCCCAGGTCACTAGGCAGCAACTGATGTCCACGAGTAATGCTCAGTAGAGCGCTTAGAAATCCGGTTTTGCATTTTGGAATGCTCAACGGGGCCTACTGAATGAGGTGTCCGCAGTCAACCACTCTCGGCTAGGTCTGTCTGTAACTGCAGAGTCCAAACAAAGAGTGCAGTGATAGCGAGCAGTCCCATCGAAACCCTCCACTGCGGATCCGCTTCAAGTGATTCGGACGACCACTGTCTAATTCAAAGTAAGCCGAAGTCCAATTAGAGACTGTGTCGCTTACCAAACACACAGTGGGTACTCCTTAACTAAGCAATGAAATTGATCTGAGTTCCTGCCATGAAGAGTGAATGGTATGCCGGTATTCCATGTGAATCCAATTACCAACCTGAAACAGTTGATAGGGAAATCCAACGCCTGTTGTCACGTGGCAGAAATCGTGGTGGACAACATCTAGTGTTGGGCGCAAGTAGAACTACAGCGCGGTTAAGTGGTCAACGCACATCAACCTATCGTCGTTTAGTGGAACCAACGAGCAAGGATGCACTTTTCCGAAGTGTATGCAACTGTCGTATCTCTCAGTCGGATCCTAAGAGCATTTTGACAGCACAGAAAAACAAAGGTGTGAAATCCAACTATCCCCCCCATGCGAAAAGATGTTCTAGTTCTACACATTTTCGTTCGTTTTCGGCAATTATGCAAAAAATGAGTACGGCAGCAAGCATACTATTAACAAATGTTTACTTTTCTTCACAGGTAGTCGCCATGTATTTTCCCGCAAGTGACCTCACTTGTCTTCTCGTACCGTGGCTTCGTGAACTGGGATTCTCCATCATGTATGGTGTACTTATTGTAAAAATCTATCGGTAAGTTCTCTATAAGGACTGTTGGTCAGTGTAAGAGGACTGCTCATGTTGCACTTTTAGATTTTGCTGAAACTGTTGTCCTTGTTCTTAAGTGGCTTCACCTGCATTACTTTCCAGGCACGCAAGGCTCCTCGTAAGATTACAAAAAGCTGCATCCTAAGCTAAACAACTTAATGGTTTTGTAACGCCACCTCAAATCCATGTGGTAGTGCTGTTAAACTGGTAGTGAATACCTCCTTGAAATGGTGCTTAATTGATTCAGGATGCTTATGGTTAAAGTTTTTCCCCAAGGCTCACTAAGTGATGTCATCAAAAGCAACGGTATCAAGGTCTATAATCACTTACGTTTAGAAGGGTTCCCAGCAATGCTGAACGTAGGAAATCGCAACTGTTGTGAGCATGACTCAAAATGGCTATCAGATAACGGCCATCATCAAATTAACTTACCCCCTAGAAAAATAGTCGCGGAGATGCCGAACGTTCCCGCGCACTTATTAATGTGAAGCAGTTAACCGTGCGACCAATTCCGCTTGAGAACGCTAAATACCAAAGTACCTGGTTTGAACGGTGACCGATGAAGCCAGAGCGAAGTCCAGCCTGGGGAGATACCGCGGGCATCGGCCTAGATCTGATGGTGAAACGCACCTGAAAGCAACGACTCCCTGTACTTGACAGAATCGGTTGGAAGGCCCTGAACAAGGTGTCACTCCCAGGCTGAAATTCAAAATGTAAGGCCTGATCCGGAAACGGTGCCTATTGCGAAGCAAATTATAAATTAGTTATTTAAGATCCTCAACAAAATGCGATTCCAGATTAACTCCATGCAACAACATACGATGCTTTTCAAATTGCCAACAAATAGAATTTCAAACTGAACCATGCATAAATGAACAGCACCTAAACACACAGTCTCTTACATTACAAATTAACCAAAGGAACACAGCCACAAATGCCACTAGGTGCTGATATCCGATTGTACGATGAACCTCGACTACCGTAAATGTTCCAACCATGTGTGGTCAGCCAGAATACGGTGTGAAAAGCGCCTGAAACAGGTATGATAATGAGCAAAGTGCATGTAGGCGTGATGGCCGTGAACATAAGGCGGGGCTGACAGTTGAGACAGGGAACAATGACCGGGACAAAAGAGAATGGTTGGGATCGATGGCACAATGAAGAAATCCGTAGTCAAGCAAATGATCTCATGGCACAGGCATTCGTATATCTCCTTCGACTCCAACCACTCTACGTTCGAAACAGAGTTGGTGAGCGACCCGCTTCAACTGCGGTACGATAAGTTTGTACCGGTGTCCTCGCGTGCTGCTTGGTGTGCGCAGATGAAGCCGTTGTCTCAACATGGGGTAATCACTCAGATGTAATATCCGGTGCGTCATGATTAGGTCAACCCTCAACCGACGATATGCTAGGGTGTACAGCCCTAGTTTCTTACATCGGTCTTCATATGGCATACCTCGTAAGTTGGGAATCAGCCTAGTGGCTACATGCTGCACCCGCTCAAGCTTTTCTACCTCACCCATCGTGATGGGACAATACGCGGGAGAGCCGTACTCTAGCATTAGTAGTATTATGGAGACGAAGAGGCGAGTGGCAGTCTCTTCGGACCAAGTGCTGAAGCTATGCGCCTGAGCGCCCAAAGCATCCGAAGGCTGTTTTGGTACAGCCTATTCGTGTTGTCGGCCGCTGCCCTTGGTAACCATCGTGAGTTATTCCGTCTTATACGGGAAACGGGCAGCAGGAGACCTTGTGCTAGTGAAACTATACATGACGAGAGTGGACAGCCTATCCACAACTTATCAAAACGCCTGGAACGTTGGGCTGAGCACTTTAAACGGCAATTTAATCGGTCGGAATTGTTAGATTTCTCGCCGACCAGTGATCGCCCCGCTCCGTGGGCTGTTCCTTTGGATCCACCCTCTCGCTCAGAAGTCGAACATGAGATCGGACTGTTGAAGTTGAACAAAGCCGCGGGACCTGATGACCTTTCTCCAGCCCTCTTCAAATTCGGTGGACCTGCCCTAATGGATGATTTACACGAGTTACTAGTGAAAATGTGGGAGCAGGAAACTGTCCCAACCGATTGGAGCCGCTCCATCATAGTCCCAATTTTCAAAGGAGGCTCACGATCGGAATGCGGCAGCCATAGAGGAATCAGTCTGATCTCCATCGCCTCCAAATTGCTTGCCTCTGTCATCCTTCACAGACTGACTGACACACGTGAAAGCCAGATTCGTGAAGAGCAAGTTGGATTTCGTCGAGGTCGTAGCTGCATTGACCACATCTTCACTTTGCGTCAGTTGTTGGGGCACCGTCACATATATTGGCGGCCCACCATTGTCGTGTTCCTCGATATCAAAGGTGCATTCGATTCGGTGGATAGACATGCACTTTGGGACTGTCTACTCAGGAAAGGTGTGCCTGAGAAATATGTAAATATTATCCAAGCATTATACTCGCGTAGCAGGGGCAGATGGAGGGCTTACGGCAAACTGTCGCCACCCTTCAAAATCTCCAGCGGCGTGAGACAAGGATGCCCGCTGTCACCTTTCCTCTTCAACTTCGCTGTTGACGAAGTCATGGAAATCGCGTTTACAGGACACGACTTAGAAGGTGTGGATCTGCTCCCAGGAGAACGACTTCTTGATTTAGAGTATGCTGATGATATTGCCCTGATCTGTGACAGCTCACAAACGTGCCAAGCGGCACTGGACAGATTAGCACTAGCTGTCCGTCACTTCGGGCTTTGCTTCGCACCCTCGAAGTGCAAGCGTTTCTCCAAGATTGGTCTGGACCGCCTCCTACGCTGACCCTTGGTGGGGATCAGCTACAAGTCGTTCAAAAATTCAACTACCTGGGAAGTTGTATCAGCGCCCGTGGGATTGAAGATGAAATCACGAATCGTATAGCAAAAGCTCGGGGCGCATTTGCTAACCTTCGCCACTTATGGCGCCGGCGCGACATCACTCTCACCCTGAAGGGTAGAGTGTACAACGCAGCGGTACGTTCGACCCTACTGTACGGTTGTGAAACCTGGCCGCTTAAAGCAGCGGACCTGAAGAGGCTAGTTACGTTCGACCACCGGTGCCTTCGTAATTTAGCTCACATTTGGTGGGAACACCGCGTGAGCAACGAGCGTGTTCGACGTCTTGTTTATGGCACAGGAAAAGGAACTGAACCGCTCAGCACCGTCATTTCACGCATCAGGCTCCGATGGCTCGGCCACGTGTTACGCATGCCAGCCCACCGACTCCCGCGATGTGTATTGTTTGCGCGCCGGGGGTGTGGATGGAAGGAGAGGAGGGGTGGCCAAGCGATGACTTGGTCCAGAGGAATGAAGGCCCTCACTTCTGAGCTGGCCTCGGTTGGAGCGTCTCGGCTCCCTGGTTGGGGTCCGAAAGACGATGAACACGTTTGGTTGGACACACTTGCTGATATGGCTAGGAGCCGACCTCAGTGACGTTCGTGCTGTGAGTTTCTTTGTCCCACCCCATCCCTCTTAGCCTCTTCCTCCAATCACGATCTCATTATTTAGCCTTACATAATCTTGCATAATATTTTTTTTCTTTTTGGGTGCTCACCAGCCGGCTGGTAGCTTACCGGAACGATGCCCATCCGTTACCGGCAGCTCAGCCGGCTCGCAACAGTTGCATTGTTTTTCGCCTATTTTCTGTGTCTTGCGGCACAGTAGCTGAGGTGTTTCTCACCTCTAGCTAACGTGTATGATGATGATGATTCGTGTTGTCAATGGACTTTAGGTCGCAGCGTGAGAGCACACCGAGGTCGCGCACGAAAGACGCGGGATGCAGCGGTTGACCAGCCCCTGTGTACGTTCGGCTGTGCTCACACTTACCCAACCTCATGAATTGCGACTTAGCAGGGTTGCTCGGAAGGTTAACCTCTGCAGACCATGTTGAGAGGCTGTCGAGATCCTGCTGAAGTAAATCACAATCATTGAGTGTGCGAATTACTCTCCACACCTTCAAGTCATCTGCGAACAACGCACATAGTGATTGGAGTAGCTTAGGCACATCGTTTACATGGATCAGAAACAATATCGGCCCCAGTACAGTGCCTTGGGAAACGCCGCTGCTCGATGGATACCAGTCCGTTAGATGGTTGTCCACCTGGACCCTCCCATTCCGATCCACAAGGAAATTTCTGATCCATTTGTGTAACGAACCACCAACACCGTACATCCTCAGCCTGTCAAGGAGCACTGCATGGTTAACCTTGTCAAAAGCTTTACTGAAGTCAATGTAAATGACATCGACCGAATGGCCTTGGTTCATCGCTTGTAACTACTCGTGCCTTGTCAACAGTAGGTTGGTGATGCACGAGCGACCTTTCATGAAACCATGCTGTGCGGAGGTCAACAGGTTTTTCGACTCGAGAAGCTGCAGAAGGTTCTTCTTCACGATCTTCTCGAGCGTCTTTGCCAAAACAGCAGTCAGGCAGATCGGCCGGTAGTTATCCACTTTACTAGGGTTACCACCTTTCGGTATAGGCTTTACGACTGAGCATTTATAGTCGTCTGGTAACAGTCCAGTGGATAGGGATCTGTTAAACAATTCAGTTACAGAAGGCGCGATGATGACCGATAGGGACTTGAGGATCAGTGGGTGTATACCATCTGGTCCAGCAGGCTTTGTCCCGTCAAGATTTGCTAGAAGCTTGCGCACATCCTCAGTATTGCAGTTCAGGCTGTTAAGTTCGGCTGGTGCGGTACTCGTCGAACTCGTTACAGACACCTAGTCACTTGCAAATACGGAAGCATAGTGCGCCGCCAATGCGGACACACGATCTGTGTTCGAGGTTAGAAGCTGTCCATCGGAGCCTTCTAACACTGGGACATTGGCTACAGGACTCAGGCGCCGTTTCACGTATGCAAAGACCCCCTTGGGAGCAGTTTTTGCGGCGGCTGCAAGCTCCTCTTCGAAGCTTCTGCGTTTTCTTGTTTTCGCGTCGTTGCAGCGATTTCGTTGTATCTTATACGCATTGTAATCCACATCAGAGCCAGATAACACGAACTTGTTCCATAGTCTGCGTCGTCGTCGGGCCAGTTTGTTGTACTCTTTGTCGAACCAATGTGGTATGACTGGCCCAACTTTCCGAAATTTGAGGGGTACAAATCGGGCGCACAACGATTTCACTCCCTCTTTAATGATAGTCCAACAGGTTTCAATAGATGAATCCTGTGGTAAAGACCAGTCCGTCTGGCTCGCTGCTCGAATGAGGCCAGTAAAGTCCGCCTTCCAATAGTTGAGTGTTGGCTCCAGTGGGGGAGAATACGGCAGTGGTAGTTCCATGCTGCCTATGATCATCGAGTGGCCGTTCGCTCCCAGAGGCTTTAAGACTTGAATGTTATGCACATGCTGCTCATAGCTAGTCAAAAGTAGGTCTAAGCATGATGCAGCCGCGCGCGCAGTAATGCATGTCGGTTGGTTGATGTGCTGTGTGGTCCCAGTTTCAAATAGCAACTCCGTAAACTTCCTATCGACTTCACAGTGGCCGGGGAGAAGTTCAGCTTCAGGCTACTGTATTCGGGGCAAGTTGAAATCACTCATGAGTAGGAACATCTGACGACTCATGTGGTTGCGGACATGCGGCAACCAGTCCAAACTGCGGCTCAGTGGGCTGCGATATACCACGCCCATGAGCAACTCGCAGCGTCTGAGGTAAATCGAACATCATAACTGCTCACATAGACCATCAGCGCTTTGGTAGGCGCTCACTAGTCTCCCACACAAGGAAGACTTTATGTAAAGTAGAACGCCACCGCGATCATTTGATGGTCTATCACAGCGGAAACATGAGTAGCCGGTGATTTCCACTTCTTGAATGGTTACCTCGGAGTTTAACCATGTCTCAGCAAGACCTAATACGTCTGATCGCTGAGAGCTTCCAAAGTCGCACAGCACATTGCGCTTGTTCATCAAACTGCATACGTTGGTAAAGGCTACGCGCAGACCGCGGTAGGAACGGCTGGGCGCGCCTGAAGCATTAGAGACCTGTTGATCCGGATTCGTGGAGGAATCCGGGCAACTACCCGAAAATTTACAATTCGCAGATTGGGTTCTCTATCCTCTGTGCGTCGCTTTAGTTCTATCATAGCAGACTTGATCTTTTCTCTGTCTGCCGGGTCTAAGTCAGCGCGCACTTGAATCTTTAGACCCTTCAGCCTATGAAGACGGGACAAGAGTAACTTGGGACTTGATTCCTCGACAAAAGTTACCCTCATAGGCCGACATTTGCCCTCCATTCTTTTTCCTAGACGGGCGATCTGCTGAACTTTGAGCCCACCCTCATTTACATCGAGTTGTCTACCAATGATTGTAAAAACTCGACGTCGTGCTCATAGCGCACCTGAGGGTTGGAATCATTTGATTCAGGCGCGTGAAATATCATGAGGCTACGGCGCCTCAGTTCGTTAGACACTGCTCTTGATTTCTTCGATGTTTGTATTTTCCATTCGTTATCGTCAATTTGTTTATTGCAAACTGGAGGTGTACTGCCAACTGAACATATTGTCGGCCTTGGTTGCAAATAGTTATCCTGAAAACTTCATCCAAGTGCACAGCAGACTCCCCAAAAAGAAACTGCCGGGCTAACGGCAGAAAAAAGCTGTTTATCTGTTCCTTCCTTTCAAGGGAGACCAGATGGCACACGACATCGGACACAAGCTCAGGTCCGCTTTAACGCGCACGTACACGATTGCACAGTTGCGTCTCATGCACACGACTCGAAAACTTTTTTCCATGACCGTCAGAGTTACCCTTCGGCTAGTTCGCCCTCGCATGTGGTCTATCAGTTCACCTGCAGTTGCAGTGACGTTTACATAGGCAGGACTAACCGTTGGTTGGCTCAGAGGGTGGCTGAACACTTGCCAAAGTGGGTAGAGCAAATGATGACGCAACAAAATGGCGCGCCTCCCAGAAGTAACCGGATTCTGTCATCATCTATCATTAGGCACCTCGTGACAACTGGTCACAATGTGGACTCCAAGATTGCGTTCAAAGTGCTATTACGTAACCGGAATCCGATAATGTTGGCAATCAGTGAAGAGTTGCTAATTAGGGTTTATCAACCAGTGCTATATGCACAGAAACTCTTGCGGCAATCAATCCGATTGCCTTGGACTTGATTTTGACGTTTTGATTGGTTTGCCAATTTTTTTGCCATGTATATAATTGTGTATGTGTTTCTGCTTGTATCGCAGATACAACGCATACCACAATCGTGCAGGGTGTTTCTGAGCCATCGGCTGATGCTAAATCAGTACCTACCACCTATTTACTTGGGATAAATTGCGTCCACCGAAAGACAACATCTAAACCGTAGTTTGCACACAAGTATAAGCATTCATTTAAGCTTGCACAGTTTCAAAAATTGCTCGCCCCATCTTCAGCTGAAGTCTTTAACAGGTTCCTTGAGCTGAGCAACCAGATAGTGGCGTCAGACTACTGAGAACCCCATTCGCGTTCGTATCGTGGCAGGTATGTTGGCAATACCGCGGCAACACGCATCCTACATGCGACATGTAGGTCATGTTCACTGGCTCAGCCGAGATACACCTTGTGGTGCATTGCACGTGCCAAGTGAAATTAATGACCATGTTCCCAACCACTTTCCAGTTTTAACAGCACAGGCAACTGGACCTAAAGCGTTGTTTAGGTATAAATATACAGAACTTTTCTAAAATACTCGAGGGTCTGCTCCGGTATCGTATTCGAGCGATAACACATAGTGTCGACTAGAACGAGGAGCGGAGGCACCGGAGCAACACAGACGGTGCACTGCAACTGCTACGAAACCCGTTGGGTCATGAGAACGGAGGAAGCCATGATGCAACCAACCTTGCGCCACACCTCAGTGTCCACCGACCTTAATCCTTGGTGTTTGTACGTCACCTGGAGTAGCGATGAAGAAATGGGTGGCACAGCTCCCCCCTTCCATAATCCCCTATAGGCGCGGGCACCTTGCAGGTGCTCGCGATCACCATGTAGCGGTGCGCAGGTAAATGTAATGCGGCTTTCAGGACTCATTGACTACCGGATGAAACAAAGTTGACTGATGCGCGCCTCGCGTGCAACTCATCAAGATGGATGCTTGTTACTTGAGTAGATCTCCGTCACATTTAGCGTCTGGGCAATCTGGAGCAAAAGCAACGGCAGCGCAGGCCATCGGGGGACTAGAAGATATGTGATCAGTTGAAGCGATTATGGATACTATTTCAACGCAATGCGTTCAGTGGTTCTTGGTGAGTATTGCTAAGAAAAATATGTTTCCTCGTGCAAGGTAATCAGCGTGGAAAACGGTCGCCAATGAATAACCAGACAGAAAGTGTGCGTTTGGCGGGTTTTCTGTTGGCGACCCTTTAGCACTTCATACAAAACTAGTAGTCTAGGTTCACAGGAACAGTTGTTCCACCTAACCTTACCAGCAAGGATCTGTGACGCCAACCCGAATGTATGGTGAACAAATTCGATGCGAGACAGTGGCAAGTGCTGGAAATGCTAACAACCGATTTAACGATCTAACGACAGCAATCCGCTGGCCACAATTTGACCGCTCGAAAATGCTGATCCATACTGTTTATCCTTATTTCCAGAGTTCTATCCGCATTTCAATCTCGGAAGGCACATCGAGTCCACGTTCGAAATAAAGACATTTTGAAGTTCCTCAGTATTTTTATTATTACGACATTCACCTATATGGTCGCGTGGACAGCGGTCAATTTGGATTACATCAGTTCGGCGCCTTGGAATCGTGACCCTAGTTCTAACACTCCGGTCAGCATTGTTCAGCAAGGATATATCAGTGTATCTCGTACCCTCACAGACTCTTCGGTCGGAGCACAAAATGCAAGTGGGACAGTGAATCAGAGCGAAATAGTCACCAGCGAAGTCTCAAAGCGTACTCGGATGCAGCTGATGCGGTTTGACGTATGCCGAGCGATGTCATGGGATGTTGTGGCGGAACTAGGTGAGTTTTCTTCAGTGGAAGATTCTCAGCCCACATGCGTACCTCTTCCATGTATGTTCACTCTTAAACATGTGCCCTTATCCATACTTCGGCGTCATAGTCTGCGGTCGTCATCTTAAGCGCATGTGTCAACCTAGATCCTTGGTCTGTAACTCTACAGTGATAACCGGCAAAGTGTATGTAGGTTGCCCCAAATTAAAGAGGATTAGTTTAAACAAGAGAGGAACGTGCAGCAAGCTTTCGGTTTACCACAACCCCATTCAGAAACTAGCAAGAGAAGAGAGGATTTATGCAGTCCTCGTTTCCACAGCTAGTTTGGTTGTTTTTAAAAGAGGAAAGTGTTTGCCTTCGCATAAAAATCAGAAAAATAAGCTGTTACGTGGTGCACACTTCGAAACAAAATCCCCAGAATTTTTAAATTAAACTGCTATGCTTGTCCTGAGACGCGCTACAGTAATTCAATAAACAACCGATTTTGAGTGCGATTCATATAGTCCCGCTGATTCGACAGGTGTTGATTGGTCCCATCTCTACACTGTGTTTTTATGATTGCAGCTGAATTTACCATCTTGGCCGTTAGCATTCACTACTGTCGCCTGGTTCGCACCGCGCCATCTGAGTACAATGAGACGCTTTACATCACCATCGCATTGATAATCGAATTGACAGTCTCCGGGATTCTGAACATTGTCCGGTAAGTGGGTGAACCTGATGCATCTTCGCACTCCGTATTGATTCAGTTTCCAGTCGTTTTAACACATGAGCAAACGTACGCACCTACCTTGGATCGGCCAGGAGTACTTACCGATTGGGTTGTATGCGTGTGTGTGTGCGGACGTTTACTTTAAAAAGTCATTTGCAAATGGGAAGGTTGAGGCATGAGTCTGCCTACCATTCGGCATGAGAAGACCGACCAATCTAGTTGCGCCATGCTTTTGTGAACAGGTTTTGTTCATTGATCTTGTAAAGAGTACCATAAAAATTATTGTTATAGTGCATATAGATAATTCCTAGGTCTATTTCATTTGAACTAAATGCACCAAATTTCAGGCTCGACTTCTTGTCACTAACCAGATAGGATAAGTGTAATATAGTGGGAGAGACCAATATAGCCGGAAGGCTTGTCTGAATCCCAGACAGCCTATGGCTCGGCTGCACAGTTCATTTGAGCATAATAGCTCCATGCTTGGTACCCGAGCAGCACATCTGTAGGTTGCTGTGGCTGGAATGTAGCAAGAGATGGACAGTCTCGTTCCATGTTTGATAAATGCTAACCATTTGGCTGCAAACACTGTCTTCCTGCCATCGTTGTGTCAGTCACGACAGGTGTCTGAACTTTACTGTAGGGCCATAAAGTCTGAGCTTAAGGACACAGCCCAGGAGATAGTAACCCTTTCTGGCCGTCTGATTAACCAAGGTTACTTACATCTGCTGCCCAAGTTTGAGAAAAACAAGTGTGAAGCCTGTTTTCACTCTGAAACGGACGTCATTGATCATAACGCTGCAGAAACATGGTCAAGGTGGCTGAAATTTCTCACTTACATCTGGGGGCAAGTTTATTAGTTACCATCCCCGAGTGGATGTGCAGGAAAAATAGTTAACTGATTACGAGCCAGGTGCTTGTACCCATAGCTACTAAGGAAATGGAATAGTATGGTAAAAGTCCTTCGATGCCTTAGAGTAACCTTGGAACCAACTGGGATTTCATACTTTCGGCAGGTTTTAGAATACGGATAGGTTTTGTATAGACTTGTATTGTGGCTACCTTTCGTCCTTGACTTGAAGAAACTCTTGTGTCAAGTGCAAAACGTAGCCACTGTACTGTAACCACTGTACAAAACCGACTTCTATTCTAAAACCTTTCGAAATTATTGTGTAGGCGAATTAGAACAGACAATTTGGGTAGACCCCACAAAGGGGACATGGATAGTGAGAGTATTGTTTAACATGTGGGGACAAACAGACAGTATGCTGGCGTTTGCTCGCGGAGTACAAGCGGGAGATTTCATACGCCCGCCTCCAGTCAGTGTCTGCTCTTACTCAACTGCGGCACTAATTTCAAGCCCCTTCACGCTAGACTGTTGCGCTGTCTACATGTAGGTTGCTGTCCAGTTGGATCGGATTACGACCAGCAACCGAGGTTAGAAAGATTAGAAGAGATGAACACTTCCAGTGGGAGCCAGCGTAGTAGAATAATTCACTAGGCACAGATCTCACTGGATCTGGAAGATGGTGATATTTGAGGTACAGCGAGACTTCTGGTTGGAAATGACAAGCAGCTTTACCTGGGAATAGCCGTTCTTCACTGGAGTACACCGAGGTTGTTGTAACTTGCAAGTATCCTCATCTGAAACCTATGCTACTCGATAAGGATGCGGTAGTCAACATCCGGAACAAGTGTATCACTCGATTTGTACACCTTCGGGTGTAGTGGAGTTCATGCATACTTTTGTGCTGCTTGGGAGTAAAGCACTTAAATTGGTATATCCGTATCATCCAATTTCGTCTTCGTGGGGATCGCAATTTACCAGCAACACCATTGCTGATTGAATTGGGTGAGAGGTCTGCGTGCTAACACACTTGGCTTGATTTCATGGAGTTGGTTGCAGGTGAAAAGCAATGGTGATCCTATTAGGTATGTTTTAATCCCTGTAAAAGGAGGAAAACGGAACCTGGGGGTATACGGGCGAACTTAGTGCTTTCTGACTTAACAATAGTGCGCTCCGCACGCAAGTATCACTCCGAAGACAGCGTGAGTTGTGACGCGTTTGGTGGGTGGGTCGTCCCGACCCACGACGGCAACGTCAGCTATAGCTGACAAATGGCGGTACGTGCCAGTTAGGTGTAAGCACTTGCGCTCCTCAAGGGATTGCGCGCATGCGTCAGCGAGTCTGAGAAGGGAAATGACTGTGGCAGATTACACCTTAGACTTCGCTTTCCGAAGCTGACCAAAAACTGCCTGACCAGTGGATCTCCAATATTCTAAATCTTGGCACCAATCCGCAGTGGATATGATGGGCACATTGGACTAGCGGAGGAACTAAGATCTCTAGTGAATAACAAGCAGACTGTAACCTTGTGGTGCTATCTATTATTATAATCCAGCGAACTATTAAATGATCAGTGTTATTTTTGACTGGAAGGTGGGTAACAGTCAGACACAGAAAACAGACGATGTAATGTCCATATCATCGATGAACGAGCGCGAAGGAACCCGAAAGGAGGGCGCAATGTTTGATGTTCAACAATACGCCTAAGAATGCTCTCACAAAACGACCCAACCATAGTTACTACATCCGGTTGTGGTGGTCTTTCAAATAGTGCCTGTAACAGAGCGCTGATTGAACGTGATACGGTCTACTATCAGTGCCGTTGTGCCCGCATTGACCCACATGACTCTCAAACGTCAAACTGGCAGGTAGTTTGCTCAGCGTTGTCAATGGAGTGGCAAGCTGAACGCGCAGTTTTAAAGCTGTAGCCAACTGATGTGCTTGTCGTCAGCCTGCCGAAATGAGGGCGAACAATAGGTCAACTACACATTTACATTTTACAGAATTATGACTTTCCAACGTAGCACAAGCTAACTCGGAGGCATTTGAGTGGCCCCTACGTGCGGGTGTCTTGCTCGACAAGCTAGTGCTTAAGACAGCGGGACTGGTTCAGTTGTTGTTGTGTGCGGTGTTGGCAGCACTCAAGAGAAGGGTATACCTCGAGACCATACTTAAGAGTAACGCCGTCCCAACAAGGACAACCAAGCGCTTGATCTCTGCCATTCTGGGTATCTACTGTGCCGCGGAGCTGCAGTAATCAACAAGACTCGGAAACTCTCGGTACCTTCAGTAGAGGAAAAGGAACGCATCAGCGCCAAATTACTCTACTTATCAAGTTGAGTAACTGCGGAGTCAGCTACCTACGTAGAGCCCAAAAATTTTGCATTCCAAATTGAAGGAGCACTTGTCCAACTGGGTTCAATGTGAGGTCAACCCAAAATTGTCCACTATTCTGTGTTCAAGTAAACCTCCGGCGTCATCAGTAGGCAGGCGTATTTCCGGCCGCGTCGTCCGATTAACTTTGGCACGGCGTTTCGGATTTTATTACCTCACCGCAATTCACGGTTCTTGCGGTTCGCTGAGACCATGGCAATAAACCAGCTGAGATCTGCCCCGTGGGTGCAAAAACAATTAGTTGTCAATCTTCGGCTGCCATGGTCGTAAGGCCATCGTCGCCGATCACCCCACCGCATGCGATTAGTTTGGTAATACCGCTTGAACTTTATATAAATCCGTTCCAGTTATTGTAGTAGGCACTTCTAGGACAATACGTGATTCGCGCATCCACCAGTGTTCGTCTTCTTAGTGTACTATGCAAACTACGGAAGCGGATTAACTGGTTTAACCCACAAAAAGGTGCTTTGTCCACCCAGAAAAGGGAGAAAAACAACAGTGAGCAAGAATAGTATCATATACTTCGCAAAACAGCGTTGTTCGTAAAGCACTGTGGTAAGTTACTGAGGCAAAATCAAGCGACGCACCTCGGTAAAAACCGAATCGTGTACCGGAAACTGCTCACGCAACTTAGAAGCGGCTACATCAGATTTCAGTCAATGAAGTTGATAAACAGTTACTCGAATCAACATTAGGGGAGAACAGTAATCGGATTCCAGGAAAAGTGACTAAATACCACAATAGCAGAATGGCACATTAAAACAGATGACAGGGAATGGGACAAGAACAGGTGAGTTTGTAGCTGCCAACCGTTACACAAGGTATTCTTAAAAGTACCGTTCCTTTAACAGGAGGCAATTTATGTACCACAGTACAGCGTTTTCAAGTATACATAACAGCTACGATCGCAGCGCTCAGGTGCCCGAAGTGTGAGCACCTATCAATGCCCTTCGAACCCGGCGTATTAGTATCACGTACACATATACTAACGTGTCGACGGTGTGGGACCAATTGCGTGACCCATGCCTCAACTGCCGCTTGGACTGGACTGTTAGTATACAAACGACCGGCATCAACAGACATGTATAGACAAGACCCAGAAGGATTTGGACAAAGCACCGACCGGTGCCAGCCCCCGAGCATGCACTGCCCTCCGTTCCAGGTCATGTCTAGGTTGTGTGCTACTTGTATGCGCTTACTCTAATTTGACACCGATGTGGTGAAACCAGTCTTTGCTGAACTTGAGTCCTCAACTCGCGGTGTCAGTGCTTAATCTTTTTGCCACCGTGCCACGCAGGAATTCTCTTTGGTTGTTCAGAGCCATAAACGATGTCAGCACCGCTGTGATGATTGCAAGCGCAAACAGCACATTGTGCTGGCCCCCCCGCATCCTCTTCGAGCATGCTAACAATTCGCTCCTACATGTTCCTGTCCCTATCGACACAATTGCCTTAACATGACATGCACCGCTTTGACTGGGTAAGTCTGAGTTAACTATCGATTCACTTGGTAAAGAAAGAGCATGAGGTGGAAGGCATTTCATGAGCACTGGTGGTTATGCAACATAGCCTCACTTGTTCTAACGAGATGACCATACTGTTGTTATATGCGGGATGGAAAGAAAAGCCTTTCCATCAAATTGTAGCACTGAAACGTTACGAAATCACCCACTGAAATCACCAAATCAGTCGTAACAGTACTTTTCGTACTAACTCAGTAACTAGTGTTTATTTTAATGAATAATAGCCCTGTCCATCATGAAACGCTAACGCGCTATAGCAGGCCATTGTATGGAATAACAGCGAAAATTGGCAGCTCAGGTTGTTCAGGTGGCCGTCGAACTGTTCGCTGAGCTTGGCAAATTTGTTGCGAACGTTTCGGCACCAATCGAGGTGACATCATCAACGCGTTGTTTAATAGTGTGTAGCAAGTAGCGTAGGGAAGCCTTGATGAGAACTACTCTCCTCGAAGGTCCCCTACGTTCCGCTGCTTGCTACACGCTACTCAACAACGCACTGATGATGTCACCTCGATTAGTGATGAAACCTTTGCAACAAATTTGCCAAGCTCAGCGAACAGTTCGACTGCCATCAGGCCATTTCATGGTCATACCCCGACATGCCTGTTCGACGCTCACATCCCGTTCCGCTCACTCACACCTATTATCAGTGGTATCACGGAACCGCGGACCCTGATTCTGACTGATGGATTGATCTGTCGTTATCACCATAACTAACTGAAGTTGAGCATGCCAGACGGTGCTACCGATACATAAAATGGGATGATATTTTTATGGAGGTAAAATTCATGATTAACAAGTCTCGTGGGAGAGCAGAAAGAGAAGTGTCAACAACAATGTATCTTCTGTGCATCCACATCAATGTCAGCAAGAAGACAGGTGCAAGTGCAAGGCTTTCCTGTGGGAGCCTGATGACTACACCGTCTGTTTTTGTTTATAGCACCTTCCAGCGAACACTGGTTACCGTGGTCCCTGGTTATCGTGGTCCCTTAAACGCCAGCAAAATGGTGGCAAAGGAAACAGAATCTGGAATAGCAGTCGAATAATTACAAAGTGGAACAGAGCGTTCCGGTGACATTCTACCCGGTACTATTGCACTCTGTGGTCCAACCAATTGTTCTTGTACCCAAGTCCAGGTCGTGACGACATGCACCGCTATGTTAAATCACCGTAGTGGCCGATACTGACCGCAGGCCTTCCTAATGATTTTAGTCCAAGTTGATATGACAAGCGAAACATGCTCATAACATAGTTATGTTCCGCTGTCAATTTCTGAAAGCAGCGATAGCGTGTCTCTGTCAAGGCTACCAAGCCTGTGTGACGTATTCACAATGGAACCCTACGCAGCAGTTATTACGCAATGGAAAGTTTGAATAATGAAATCACCGACAGCTTTGTATACAAAAGATTGATGTATTGCCTTCCTGCTTTTGACACCATCTGCTGTTTCGAGTAACTGAGGTCATTCTAGACCAGCTCACAGAGTCCTTTCCATAGGTGCCACTTTGAAAGGCGCAGTGAATGGACTGATAACTACAGACACTACCGATATCTAGCTAAGTGAATAAGTGATCATTTTCGGTGTTGCTTGTCCCCAGCATGAAGCTTCAGAACCAGTTTCGTCCATCGTTGTGCCTTAAGGACCGGGGGGAGCTAAGAGTGGAACTTGCGGGGTAGAGGATGACGTCTGGCGATTCGACCGCAAGGCCTTTGGCTTCCACGGACAACACTTGGCACCTTGGTTGTCAGGTCACACTTAGATTTGGGACTGCCAGTGTGTTTGAACTACGACCTGCAATCTCACTTTGAACCACAATTTAGTGCTGTCAAAACAGTGATTCCGGTAACCGGCATCACTCCTGGAGGGCAAGAGTTTCAGTGTTGTTAGGTCCATGCACTGCATTACACAACTGGCTTCAGCGTTCTTTAGCGAGGTGGTAGCAAAATGCAGCAGCGCCAATCGCACGCTATTTTAGCTGGAAGAGGTCCAATGGGTTGACAATCTGCAGTTGAAAATACTCACGGATACGATCATCGTGAGGACGAGGGCAGTCACGGATTGGATAGCAACAGTTCCTACTTGCTTTGCTTTTTGCGTCTCAAGTCTATATGAAGAAAGTATGTAGGTGTAGTGAGTGTAGATGTTATTCGCTTGGTATTCCTTTACTCTTGCAGAAAATCTACTATGCTCTCAACCGACAGCAATCATTTAAGTAGATTGACTACCTGTATAGATTGACCAGCCGGGAGTGAGCAGTAAGCTCAGTCAGCCCGCAAAAGGCAATCAAAAGCAAGCACACTTGATTGCAATCTCTGTGGTAAAGGTATACTATTATAATACGGTAAGTTACCTAGTTGAATTGGTTGACGGACACCATCTGCGAAGAGTAGTTTAACGTATTGTCCCCCATAATTTCGCCAAAAGTGATGGTATGTATCGCTGACATTCACACCTTTTGTTTTTACTGTTTCGCAGCCATGCCATCTGGTACTCTGTGCATCCGGACTACGTTTTTCTGCTCTATTTCATCCGTTCGCACACCACAATAACTGTCAACCTGGCACTAATATTCGGACCAAAAGTAAGTTCCAGTCTCAACTGTACCAATTTGATGAAAATCGACAGTGATGACTATACAGTAAACTGCCACTTGATGCATCGTCCTCTGCTAACCTCCATTCTTGCAAAGGTGTTATACTAGTTGCAAAATGTGAAGGCGGTCTTTGTACAGGAAGTCCAAAGGTCTTTTTCAGGAAACGCTAGTCCCAATGCTGTGATCGGAGTTGGATGATGCGGGCGCCACACTACCTATTCAGAGATTACCGATTCCCTAGCAGCAACGCAGGGTGCGCTGTAGTTAGCGCGCAACTGGTTAGATAAAGTGAATCAGGCTTTGGAGTTACAAACCACTCTGCACGCCCAAGTGGTACATCGGCCGGTCTTAATGAGGGTTCCTCTAAGTCTGCCATGTTGATCGTGACCATCGCTGTTTCACTTTAGTTTGCCTGAAGTAGGGTTAGTGGGACGTGTAGGTATAGCATGATTACAGGCGAAATAAATACTGAATTTATACTGGTTAAGGAGCATTGCTTTACAAGTCCCCTTGGGTGGGCTCGTGGGCTTGTCGAAAATACTAATAAAACAGTTAGTACTCTAGATAAGAAAAGTGGGGCTTGTCTTGTGCTCTGCTGTAGTCCTGCGATCCGCATGGTTACACTGCACAAACAGGGGACAGTAAATAAATCCAATGTGTATTTCAGGAGTAGGATGGAGACTTAGTGCTAAGCAACAAAGTATAAGTGGATGAGTGCGTCATCTAACCATGTTTCAAATATTGTTAATGTCGGTGCAGAAACGACCGATTCGGAGTGAGCATTCCACGGGGGACATGAGAAGCAGAGAGAAAATTCTGTGGCACTCCAGATGACTATACTGTTTTGCAAGTTTCAATGTTGACCTCTGCTGAGTTGTAGTAAAGAGTAGCACACATGATTTCGATTGTGTAAAATCAAGTATGCCGTCATCAGGTCGCCTCATGATCGGTAACATCGTCCACTGGATACCCTCAATGGTTTCAGTCTCTGCTTGTATAGGAAACTGCGCGTTTCAATGACGTATTTGGAGGCCGGAATTTGAGGATGCTCCAGTGCAGTGAGGTCGAGTTTCAACCATGGTTGCCAGGCTTGAATTGTGTATTCGACATGGGAGCGAACACACGTACTGAGCATCAGTCGTAAAATAGAGAGATCTATTTGTCCAGACATCCGTTTCAACAGCCTGACTTGTTGGTTACTAGCTTTCAATGCATTTTCGGATTGCTTGGAACCAAAGTCCTGAATCGAAACACCCAGATCACGTGTGACGGAAGGTTGCTGCATTACTTGTGTTCCAATGCTGTATGAGTACTTGATCTGGTAGCGTACTGAGAGAACTTTGCAGCTATTCATGTTGAATTGCAGTAACTTAGGGATTGAGCACTGATTTACCGGGTCAAAGTCACTCTGAAACAGATGCTGGTCGGCATTCGCTTAGATTCTGCACCAAATCTTGATATCCTCGGCAAACATTAGGAAGTTTGAAACGATTGTCTGTGCGAGATCATTAGTGAATACCAAAAACAATCGTGGCCTTAGAACTGAGCGCTGAGACACACCTCATTCGACTTGTAGGGGGTCAGATAGAGAGCTACGAACCATGACCACCTATTGTCGTTGAAGGAGAAAGTTGACGATCCAGTTTAAGAGAGGATCGCCGATCCCGCAATACCGGAGATTGGAAAGTAGTATCTGATGATCTCGATGTTCGAACGCCTTAGAAAAATCCAGATAGATTACGTCAACTTCCACTCCCGCTTCAGCTGACACGGTCCAACTACTACCTGCGATTAATAGCTTACTAGCTCAGTAGTGTATGATGGGATAAAAGCATAACGGTACAAGACCCACAGTGTGGATCTGCAAAAGAAAATTAAAATCAAAATTTTCCCACGTGGAACGTGAATTATTAGTGGTTAAGCCATTGCAATTTATCAAAATAGTATTACTAATCTCTCGAATGTCGCGATGTCTGGTGCTTTCAACACATGTGTTGTTAGTGCATTCCAGTGGGAATAGTTTCTAAGTGACTAAAAATACTTCCTACGATTCAAAAAGAAGTGTTGCATCATTAGTTTCAGGTGATTGCCTCGGCATTTTTTGTAAGAGGCTAGGGAAAGCAGTGGTGTAAATGGGTGCTCGCGCCCAGAAGGTATCCGGTATGTGAGGGTGAGATCTCCGCTAAGCCATCGGTATTCTGCGGAGTATACACGGAGCAAACGAAGACGCAGTTAGTAACTGTGACCGAATAGTCCACGCGTTACCCATGTGGCTCTTCTTTGGGGTTGCTCCAAAAGGCGTATGTTTCCTTTTAATTGTGGACACCAGGCCTGAATTGCATATTCAGCGTGAGGAGGAACATCCGACTTAATCAGCAATTGTACTAGCCGTCTCTCAAAGATGCCGAGAGCACGCCACAGAAGCCTCAAGATCAACTTCACCACACTCACTGCTTCCGAATATTGGAGAGAATTGCCAAGACTTTCTTGCACGATGATAGCTAAGTCGAGTGTTGCAGGAAGTGTTGCCCCAAAAGATATGAGTTTATGAAGCTGCTACCCACCTTCAGCAGGTGGCACTTTGCAGGATTCAGTGGGAGCTGTTTCCTTTCAGTAGTCCGAGTCAGATCGTCCTGAAGCTAGACATGGTCAGATGCTGAGCGAATCGCCCTCCAGATTTTAGCATTGTCTACAAATATTTGTATCGAGGATGGAATGTTTGCTGGAAGGTCATTGACGTAGACTAAAACAGTAGCGAGCCGAGAACGGAGTCTTGCAGTACACTACCGGAGATGCACAGGATTTCCGAGTGAGTGTCAGGTACTCTTACCTTGATTGCTCTGTCATGTAAGTAGTCTTCCAACCAGATGGGCAGGGAACCGTTGATATCGTAGGCAGCAAGCTTTAGGAGAAGAACTAAGTGAAGGACTCTGACGAATACTTTAGAGAAATCTAAGTAAAGCACATTTATGGAGACTCCTTCATCAGTTGCCCTGACCCATGCGTCCCGAGTAAGCAACAAATTGATGAGACTAGATCATCTGCGTCTGAAACCATGTTGGTAATTAGTAATTAGCTGTAAGCTTCAAATTATCGTGTCAGTTCATCTGCGCTTACCGATTCAATCACTTCTGATAAAACAGGAAGGAGACTAATATGTCGGTAGTTGGTAGGATGCAAACGTTTACCTTTGTATATTGGAGTGAAAATTCCATTTTTACACTCAGATGGGAGCGTATGGGAGTCAAGCAGACCGTGGAAAAAGACTGAAAACCGTATTGCTATGGTGGGAGTGTTTTAAAACTTTTTTTGGCTTGGTCTTGTCGATTCCAGTGGCACTGTTTTCCCCGAGGAGAGACTGTAATTTGCTTGCGACAGCTGCTGGGGTAAAGGTGATGCTGGATAAACCAACGACATCTGTTTGGAATTGATAGGGCGAAGATTCCATGGTACTTGTAGCCACTGAGCCAAACTGCAAGAGTAGTGCGTTCGTGGCATTCACAGCAGTAGTTGTTAAGCAACTGGCTGACTTGAGTGGCGGTATTCCGAGCTTAACCTTACTTTTGCCATTCACATAGCTGTATAGTAGTTTGATGGTACTCGTAAACTTCAGTACCATTGTCTCCTGCTATTTGTACTTGTCGACTCAAGTGAGGAAGCTGCAGTAGTTTCTGACTGCGCTGCAAATTTTTCATGTGGTATCATTTGGGCTTAGCGAATGTTGCCTCTAGATCTCATCTCCTCTGTTGATCTATTTACGTGTTCTGCTTCGGATTCAAATAATAGTCCGGCGCGATGCTGGTAACGGTACACTCTTCGATGCTGATTGTATGACACAGTGAATTATTATTTTTACCCCATTTCATGCGTCTTGCGTTAACCTGCGCGTCTGTAGGTTCCAGTTAACGGTTGTTGCTGTTGTGCAGCTTAAAATAGTCTGTAATACTTATGAATGGAAGGATTTTGATGAGTATTTTTGTTCGTCGCAGTCAGCCGACAATTCAGATATGTCGACCAGCTATCCGGAAAAGCACCAGACGGCCGTTTCGCCCTACTAGGGCACATCAGTGGTGCGCATCCTTCGGTCCTCTATGAGGATCGAATCCATGACTGCTAGTGGCTCTTGCCAACTATCCCGCAGCTTATGCAACTGCGTCATGGAGGACGGTATCTGACTATCATGAATTGTTAGCTAAATGCGATATAGCCCGACGCATCCTCTACTGTCATGCAGGCACCTGCCATGCAGATGACAGCGGTCGGCCTTCCGGCGTCAGGACTTCCCGGCTACGGCAGCTATGAATCGACGTAGCATTTTGTGGAATCCGTACGGGCGAATTGGTATTACTTATGAATGGAAGGATTTTGATGAGTATGTTTGTTCGTCGCAATCAGCCGACAATTCAGATATGTCGACCAGCAATCCGGAAAAGCACCAGACGGCCGTTTCGACCTATTGGGGCTCATCAGTTGTGCGCATCCCTCGGTTCTCTGCGGAGGATCGAACCCATGACTGCTAGTGGCTCTTGCCAACTAGCCCGCAGCTTATGCAACTGCGTCATGGAGGACGGTATCTGACTATGTAGCATTTTAGCTAGAGTTTAGGTCCCTTAACATGTCTTGAATTTGGACTACCTACTACATTAATCTGCAACTCGAGTTCTGAGGTTATCCCTCCCAATAATGCGAGCAGTTCCTTCTGCCTTATTGACGTAACAGCTAACGTTTCACACCTCCTCGTAAGCGTTTGAATAATCCTAACTATGGGACGAGCTGAATATGCGTCACAGTATCAAAACCTATCTGTCGGTAGGCTGCTCTTTCCGTTACATGTTATGGTTACTTTTGTTACTTCGTAGTAAATAGCACAGAACGAGCGCGTGACTCCTGAAATCATCTGTTGTCAGCTTATCTGCGCCACGAGTGACCTTTTGTGTTGTGAACTGGAGTTCCGACGGACAAACTACTTTTTAGGTCACGCTGGTCAC